CAGTTACGACCACCGATAACTTTGCATTCACGTTATGTATACGCATCTCAAAAAAAGAAGAAGAAGAAGAAAAAAAAAACCCTGCATTCAAGAGCAGTTGAGTTATCACTTAGAGCTTAGAGCATGGAGCTTAGACTCATAATATGCTGCTTTCTCTGTGTCGTCGCAAGGGAGTTGGAGTTTTGGCCCACAGTATCTATGATTGGCACAAGCAGCCCGTCAAGGTTGGGTTCGAGTTCCGGCCCAACCACAAACTTGAAATGGGGTGATAGGTCAGGTTGATTGAGGGGGGGGTGGGGTGGGGGGGGGGGGGGAAGGAAGGGGTATTGAGTTGTTTCTTGTTCCAGGGTTCGCCTGAAATCCCCCCTTCATTTCAGGGAAGGGCCAAAAGTTTCTCCTTAACAAGTCAGGAATCAGCCAGAAATCAGCCCTGAAAAGGTTCAGGGCTAGAGATTTTGCAACCCATCAATTTCAGGGTTCATGGAGAACCTTGCCATGGAATTCAAGGGCCAGTAGGGAAAATTCCCTGATAGCGACAGCCCCTGATTCCAGATTCCGTATCAAGGGCTTGTCACCTCGCTGTTCGAACAACACTCTTGTTCGAACAAGTGAAATCTTACTTGTTTCGCCACAACTCGCATGGGCTTCTACGACGTCGCATGACGGAATTGTCGCCCATCCGAACAACGCTGTCACATCGGGCGGGTAGCGATTCACGCTGCACGTGTGAACAGAGTTGTTCGAACGCCAAGACCTTGGTGACAGAAATTCCGCAGGGACGGCACATTTGATTGGTCAGCCATGCGTCGCGTCGCCCACGAATGTGTTTTTGGCTTGCGAGTGTCGCATTGAACGCGAAAGCGTTTTGGCTTGTTCGTAGAGGCTGGCGAACCGTCAAACGGTGGATTCGACGCCTCACTCCGTCGCCCGATTTTGTGCGACGTCGCATATTCGAACAAGGCGCTTGTTCGAACAAGGGGGGCGTCACCTCGAGAACAAGCTGTCACATTTGTTATTCTGTTCGAATTTGTTTCCGGAACTACATGGGACAGTGTTTGTACAGTGGAAACGATACGCCTGCTCGAATTTGGGGATTCGAGCCCGAGGTGACACGCTCTGAGTTTTCTCTCCCACACTGCATTGGTATCGTTCTGTGGGCGCATTGGGGGTGCTTGGCCTCCCTGACGAATATTCTAGGAACGCGCGTGACAAGGCTTAAAGCCCACGTCGAGCCTCCCAACTCGTTATTGTGTACCGAACCTGGTAGTTTTTCTTGTGCGCTCATGGGTAACAGAACGCATCATAACTAGTCCGCTCATACCTTACTTCGAAACTTCAATTACGGGCAAACGGGAGGCACCGCCCGTGCGAACCCTATCCGCCCATCCGAGGTTGAATAAGGGGACGCACAAGCAAAAACGGGCAGATCTGAACGCCCGTTTTTGGGACATTTAGCGATGAATTTACTCACCACAAAAATATATCAAAGGCCGAAGGTTTGTGAATGGTTGGGATGAAACGTTTTGAGCATCCTGGGCAGCCTGGGCATGGTCAACGAAAAAAAAGCAGAACTGATTGCAAACCTGCTTTGTCGTTAGCAGCATTTTCGCCGATACCGCGGGAGTGTTGACCCTTCGAGGAACATGCTTCCCGCAGGGCTTGTGCGGAGGGCTCTGTTTGCTTGTGCGGCAAGAGAACAATGCCATTGTGACGTAGTCTTGTGAGTGTGATAACCTTCGCCGAAACTCTCTGATCTGGCTAGATTTGCGGCGACTGTTCATATCCACCGAACTGAAGGTTTCAGTTGAAACCCACGTGCTTCGAACCACGCGTCATGTTCACCGCCTTTTTCTGAGGGTTTAGAAACTGTCTAAGGTGCTTTCTGTTTGGCATGTACGATCAGCTAGCTATAGAGGTAGTATACGATCACTGATCTACACGATGAAGTTCTCATTACGAATCGACGGTTCGAGCGCGCGTGCTAGCACAATCTCCCACCAAAGCTATCCCCTCCGCTTGTTCCTACGAATGCTGCTGATAAGGGGAGCAGATCACGTGGCCCGTGGTCATGTGTCTCGGCTGGCATGTGTCTCCGTATCACCTCAATACTATTTTTTTCGCGACTTTTTTGGCCCTTGCCTTTTCCGGGTAGCTGAAATGAGCATGTGACATCACGAGGTTACGTGGCCTCACCTTTTTATGAGCTCCCAACGGACGGCGCATCACGGACAAAATCTGCCAGCATAAAATATAATCAGATGGCGTTAACGAAAGGTATAGCTTATCGAATAGTGGCGGGTCGGTCTTCAGCAGTGGCGGGTCGGTCTTCAGCTCATACGTCGGCTGAAATGGGTGTTGAAAAACGACTTACTACCCCAGTCGTTCTTCCATTAGCATTCCTACCGAGCGCCCACTATTCACCAGCGCCGCGCTTCCTCCCACCCACTCCCACTGTAGTGTCAGTTCCCCCCCCAGCCCTGGCGTCACGACTTCGGATTGCCCTAAACTCTTCATTGTACGCTGAGAGTCCCAGTACGCGGCTTCCCCAAAGTTCCGAGCTCTAAGGTCGGGCTTATTGAGATTATCATAATGACATGATGGCGCCGCGCAGTCCCTGGGCGAAGGAGTTGGTGAGAGAGCACGCCGCAGTGTCAAGAGTCTCAAGGATGAAACGGGGTCGCGGTGACAAGCATGGTGACTCCCACAGTGATGGTGCTGCCTGCAGCAACGCTCGACGTCGGCGTAGGATTTTCAGGGCCTGTGCTTCAACTCCTGCAGCAGCAGCAGAACCCATGGCGACCATGCCTGCAGCATCCAGCTACAAGGCAGCAAGAAACGCTGTTGAAGTGGCGGACACAGCAATCACGCAGCGGCAAGGAGGTCCTATGTTGCTTGAAGAACGCAGCATGAGACTAAGTTGGGCCGACTACGTCCGGAGCAAGGAGAGCCAGGGAATAACTGTCCTCTCTGACAAGCATCCTCCATCCGATGCTGCACCAGACTGCTCAGCAGAAGCTAGCAGTGACTACAGGGCCGTGTGGGTGGAGCAATGTGAATGCAAGCCATTGGAGGAACGGGCGAGCTTTGAGAAGCCACCTTGTACCCGGGTCGTCATCCCTGACCTCAACTTACCTGCATGTGAGGGTCCTGGCTTGGCAGCACGCTGCCAGCGCGTCTAAATCAGGCACGGAGTACATTCTTCAGATGCCTCGCCTGCCCACGGTATCCCTGGAGTAAAAAGAGCTGAATCTACACACGGCTGTGTGAGTTGAGCTTGAATAGCTCTGGGTGGAAGCAGCAGCAGCAGCAGCAGGAAGAGCAGCAGCAACCGCAGCAAAAGCATGTGGAATGTGATGGCTGTAAATGCAAAGATTGTGCGGACTTCGAAAGAAGGCGAATGCTGATACGAGAAATAAATATGTACAGGGAGAGGATTATCATTAGGCAGATTTAGCCGAGCTTGCATACGCAACAAGGCTTGACTTTTGGGCTTGCTTCTAGTATTTTTAGGTGCTGCTTGTAGGGAAGCGACATCTGTGGGAACTTGATTAGTGTACAGTTTGACGTACACCCGAACGCGAGTTGACGCGCGTACGGTTTCGGTTGCCACGTGGGCGTTGGGTTGTAACTCGTGGTGTCCGCAACATATTGGTAATATTTCGGGTGAGTGGAAGCAACGCAACGGTTGCAATGCGGTCACTGGAAGGTGTCCGGGATGTTGCGGAATTGTATGCGGTGAGTATCCCTAAACCCTAAACCCTAAACCCTGTTGCGGAATTGCAACTTTTACGCAACTTTAGAGTGACTCGCACTTCAGCAATCTTAAAAGTTACCTTTTTCAATATTTCTGCAACATGGCAGCAAGTCCTTGCTGTTTGACCCTTGCTTTGTAGCTTCTAATGAAGCTAGATTGTACAAACTCAGGATGTGTGCTGACAAGCGATGAATCCAATAGAGAAGTCGCAAATTTCACCCTAGTCTACGTCTTCTCACCACGACCATGTACGCGCAGTGCAGAATCGATTAGCTTCGCTGCCCTAGTTAGCTCGCATCCCCTTATCTCTTATGTCGCTTACGTCCATCTTGAGAGACGTTGAAATGTAAGGCAAGCCGCGATGCAGTCCTGCGTCCGGCGAGTGCCGCGAGGGTCGGGTTTGTCGTCCCATTGCCTTCATGTACCGCCAGTGAAAGAACCCGAAATCCGTCGCGCAACCCCAGCGAACCAGCTTAAGATTCGTGCTACCGCGCCGCGAACCTTCACACTGCGCCGCTCATGCCGGCAAGCGCTTCCGGGTCCTATCAACGAGCTGGACCGTTTTAGCAACGCCTTACACTCACCTTTCGTTGCACGGATTAAGAGCCAGCACAGTCAGCGCGCTTCCCGTTCCATCCACGCGTCAGCAGCAGCACAAGCGAACGGAACGCAAGAAAGCGCTCCAATCTCACCCGTGACTGAGCTCACCGCACCCGACGCACACGCTCAAACCCCGCCAGCCGTTTCCGCGTGGCCCGCATTCTCCGCCGCGTTTTCCGGCGAGTGGGCGGGGTACTCCGTCGACTTCTCGCGCTTCGGCGAACCCTTGGAGTTGCCGCAATCCGTCGTTCCCGTAGCGTTCCGCGACTGGGGGCTGGTCCAATACGCGTGGCAGTCCCAGACGTCCGGCGTAACTCGCGGGGAGTCCCTTGGCCGTGGCGTGACGGCAAGTGTGGAGGAGAACCTTGGGAATGCCGAGATTCACTCCTCATTCGTGAGGTACGCGCCTGCTGCGGGGTGTGAGGCGGCGTCTCCGCCTAAATACAGCGTGGAACGGACGGCTCTGAGGCTAGTGACTGGTGCAGCTGGTGACGGCTCCGCTGGTCCTGATAATGGTTATTGAAGTTCCAGCAGTGCTGCAAGCTGCTGGACTGCTGCTGCTGGTGGTGGTGCTGCTGCTGGCGACTTGTTTGCATTCACGGAGGATGGTTCCTATCTGCTCGTCCGAGCTGGCCAGTCCTCCACCATGCCCGCGCCTGCCAGCGTGGACGCCATGCGGGCCACTCAGTGGGTGCCACGTGGCACTGACTCCACAACCCGTGACTCTAACGAGGGTGATTCAAACGAGGGGATCGGCTGCATGGCAGCAGGGCCGTTTCAGGTGGAGCATTGCTTGGCGATGGAAGGGGTGGAAGCTGCGAGTGGGAAGGGAAGAGTGAGAGTGCGTGTTGTGCAGCAATTCACACCAGTGAATGCAGCAGCAGGAGGAAGAGGAGGGGGAAGAGAAGGAGGAAAGGGAGGAGGAAACGAAGGGAGAGGAGCAGGAGCTGTAGCGGTGCCTCGGCTTGCCAGCCTGGCAGTGCACAGGGAGAAGTGGGTGGAGCCGTTTTCAGGCGGCGCTGAGCTGGCGGATGGAGCAGCACTGTTCAGTTCGGAGATGGTTGAGGAGGGGGAGGGGAGTGAGGCAGTGAGGGAAGGCAGGGTGAAGGAGATTGAGGGGCGGTGGGAGGTGACGGCGAGAGAAGCTCAAGTGCCCACAGCTGTAAGGTTCAACTCAAACGCCACGATCTCTTGTTGCTAGTGATGGTAACTCTGACGTCATTCAGTCATTGATGCACTCACTCAATTATTTGATTGATTCACTCCCCTCAGGCTCTCCTCAGCCGTCATCATTTGTATGCGAGCTTAACACAGTCTTGCTCTTTTTCGTTTCCACTTCCCTACTTCCCCTTTTCTTGCCTCTGTCGCTTCCTCATACACCGTTTCTCAATCCTCACAACCCTCTTAAACCCCCCACCCTCGTGCCAGCAGCCATCCATCTCGTCATCACTTGTTGCTCTGGAGTTGACAGAGCCAATCCAAACGGAGTGTCAAGGCAGATGGAGACCTCTGCTTTGGAGGATGGGACGCTCATGCTGCTCCCAGAGGTAGGGAAGCTATTAGAATTCAGGATTATGGGAAGGGTATGACTCTTGCGATGAGATGTTGTCCCCGCTTTGCTGGATTGCTCCTTACTTTTAGGGTTTAGGGTTTAGGGTTTAGGGTTTAGGGTATGACTCTCATCCAGAAGCAGCGAAAGCCATTTGAATCAGCAACATCTCAACTGATTCTCCTGCAAAAGTAGTAGGAATAGTCAGTCATAGCCACATGGCGAGAAACGACGGCGCGGCAGTGTCCCCGAAAAGGCTATTTGGAGGCACGACTATAGTTCTCCTCCTCGCACTTCTCATTCCTGATCCCACTGGGATGGGGACCGGCGGCACACGCGGCGCCGGACAATACTTCGCCGCAGAAGCGATTCCCTTCATCGAACAGTCGCAACGTAAGCTGGTCGCAGCGTAGCGTCGTATCGGCGCGTTGCATTCCATGCGGCGACACCCCATAACCGAAAATTTTGGCGAAGCGACGACATCAAATAGATGATGACGTGACCAGTACTCTCCGCCGCTCCCCTCTCCTCACCATCCGAATTCATCCGTCTCCTCCGAGGAGTCATCTCCTCCCCCTTTTCTGCTTTTCATACTATAGTATGGTTGACTTTAGATGATCCACCTCCTCCATCCTCCCCCACTTCCACCCCTTCACCCCCTTTATTCCAGTCCCGCCTCTCAAGGAGATGTCTAAGGGAGATTTTGAGGCGGCGAGAGGGTGACAGAATATCATCAACGGCGGCGGCTGCGCGGCCTTCGAATATCGATTATGAGGCGCCCTTCCCCCTCCCTCCAGGAGCTGTCCAAGGTGTGGGAAATCGACATTGTCAACGGCGGGGACTGTGCGGACACGTATAACACCCAGGTCGATCCTAGGGGCGCCTCATAAATCTCGTTCCCGCCCCCGCCCTCCCCTCTACCTCCTCTTTCCTCTCGCTTCAGTCCCGCCTCTCAAGGAGCTGTCCAAGGTGTGGGAAATCGACATTGTCAACGGCGGGGACTGCGCGGACACGTATAACACCCAGGTGGTGCGCGAGTGCGACACGGAGGGCTTCATCGTCTCCATCACGTACGCGCCAATGCCCATGGGTGCAAGTGCTGCTGCTGCTGCTGCTGCTTGTGGTGGTGATGCTGCTGGTGGTGCTGGTACTAGCAATGAGGTGGTGATGCTGTGCTGCTGCTGCTGCTCTTCCTCCTGCTGCTGCTGCTGCTGGTGTTGCCTGCTGCTAGTGTTGCTCCTGCTGCTGGTGCTGGTGCTTGTGGTGGTGACGTGACGATGATGGGGGTTGCTGCTGGTGGTGCTGCCGGTGCTGCTGGTGACGGTGATGTGATGATGATGGGTGTTGCTGCTGGTGATGGTGATGTGATGATGATGGGTGCTGGTGCTGCTGCCGGTTATCATGGGTCCCTTGCGAAGCCAGATCCTTCATTTATCTATCCATCCTCCCTCTCCTCCTTCTCCCTCGGCCTTCTCCCTCCGCCTTCTCCCTCCGCCCTCTCCCTCCGCCTTCTCCCTCCGCCCTCTCCCTCCGCCCTCTCCCTCCGCCCTCTCCCTCCGCCCTCTCCCTCCGCCCTCTCCCTCCGCCTTCTCCCTCCGCCCTCTCCCTCCGCCCTCTCCCTCCGCCCGCTCATCCCGCCTCTCCTTCCGGCCCTCTCCTTCCGACACCCCTCTGCGCCACACCAGCCCAACGTCCCTGATCACCCAACAGGGCTTCAGCACCATTCCAGATGTCATCACCAACCTCACACGACTCACCTCCCTGTAAGCCACTCTGCTGTCACCCTCTCTCCCTGCTGTCACCCTCTCTCCCTGCTGTCACCCACTCCCTCTGCTGTTACCCACTCTCTTTGCTGTGAGCGATGAGGTGATGAGATTGGAAAAGCGTGTCTCGCGAGGCAATTCAGTTCTTCCTGCTTGCAATACAGCTCGTTGTGCGAGGTACGAGGCTCATTCCCCCCTGTATGTGTGCGTGGGTGCGCGTGCGTGCATGCACGAGTGTGTGTGTGTGTGTGTGTGTGTGTGTGTGTGTGTGTGTGCGTGCGTGCGCGTGCGTGCATGTGTGCGTGCACGCATGTGTGTGTATGTGTGCACGCATGCGCGTGTGTTTGTTGATGTGCGTGTGTGAATGGCAGAGACCTGGGGTTCATCCCCGTTAGAGGCACCCTGCCCGCCAGCATGGGCAACATGACCAACCTGCAAAAGCTGTGAGCCCCTCTCCATCGCACCACACCGCACCGCACATCACACTGCGCTGCCCACCACACACTGCGCTGCCCTGTGCCCACCGCGCAACCATGGTTTGACTATCTCCCTACCCCACACAACTCTACTATTGTTGTGCCACCCCCTGTATCATGATCACCCCACTCTATCATTGTCACACCGCTCCTTCTAATCGAGCAGGGTGGTTAACCAGGGTGATTAACCAGGGTGATTAACCAGGGTGGTTAACCAGGGTGATTAACCAGGGTGATTAACCAGGGTGGTTAACCAGGGTGGTTAACCAGGGTGCTTAACCAGGGTTAACCAGGGTGATTGGCAATGGCCCCACCATGCCCACCTCCCCCCTCTCTCTCTTAATCACCCTCTCCCCTTCCTTCCGCCCATGCAGAACCATCACGCAAGTGGCATTGGGCAGCATGGCAGTGTGTGTTGAGTCAACTCACTACTCTCCTTCCCCTCCCTTCCGCCCGCGCAGAACAATCATGCAGGTGGCATCGGGCAGCATCCCGGCCTCCTTTGGCAACATGGCCAGCCTGCAATCACTGTGAGCACCGCTTTCTCAATACAGTCACTCTCTGCAAGCACCGCTTTCTCAAAATAGAGGCACTGTGCACTCCGGAAAGTGGTGATGAGATGACACTAGGCAGGCCCCTTACAGTTTCTTCCATCCCATTCCTCCTCTCTCTTGCCGGAAATTCCATCACCAGCGCTTGGCAATGTCATCGCTCTCCCTCTCTCTCTGCATCTTCCCCCCTTGTGATTATAAACACTAGCATGGCCTTACAGTTTCTTCCATCCCAGTCCTCTCTCTTGCCGGAAATTCCATCACCAGCGCTTGGCAATGGCTTCACTCTCCCTCTTTATTACATGTCCCCCCTTTGCGTGTCCACAGGAGCATCAGCGTGAGTGACTACGACACCACAGGTGACGCCCTCACAGGGCCCATCCCCGAAACATTCTCAAACCTTAAGAACCTCACCTCGCTGTAAGCACACTCACCTATTCTTGTGGTTGTTTGTTTGTTTGTTTGTTTGTTTGTTTGTTTTTTCCATTTTTTTTATTTTACACAACCTATTTTTCTGTAAGCGCAACCCATGTTCGTTGTTGGCACATCTAGAACTGCCATAGGTATGAATTGTACCCCATGCCCTCACACGTGCATCCCGTGCCCCGCTCCTTTCTCTTCCTCCCATACCTCTCTCCCTCCCACGTCTCACAGCGACCTCACCAACAACAGCATTGGTCCACTCACTGACATTATTGGCCTTCCCATGCCTGTCCCTCCAACGCCTCTCCCTTCCTCCCTCACCTCTCCCTCCCACACGTCCCAGCGACCTCACCAACAACAACATTGGACCGCTCACCGACAGCATTGGCACCATTCCCAACCTGGAGTACCTGTGAGTCAGGGGACGAGGTGTGAGGGGGATAAGTGCTTGTAAGGAAAGCAACAAGAACAACAGCAACAGCAGCATTGGCACCATTCCCAAGCTGGAGTACCTGTGAATCAGGGGAGGAGGGTGCGCGTGTGTAAGAAGGGAATGAGGTGCGCGTGTGAGAGGGGGCTATTATTGAGGCGCATCAAGAACAGACAACAGAATTGGGCCGCTCACTGACAGCATTGGCACCATTCCCAACCTGGCGTACGTGTGAGTCAGGGGAGGAGGCACGCGTGTTGGAGGGTTGTGAGGGGAGGGTTGGGTGTGAGAGGTGGGGGAGGCGTGTGAGGGGAGGGTGGGGTATGAGTGGGGGAGGAGGCATGTGAGGGGAGGGTGGGGTGTGAGTGGGGGGAGAGCACTCCTAACGAATAATGAAGGACGTATGACTAATTTCGTTATCAACTGTAACAAGCGAATAAGAAGACGTGCATGCCAGGTAACTCCACAGGCTCTTCTTCTCTTCTTCTTTTCAAGCGTAACAACTTCACAGCCAGCAACTCCACAGGCAGCACCATTCCCGAGACATATCAGAACCATTCATCCCTCCACCACCATTCAGTTGTGAACGCTCTTCCCTCTGACCCCTGCAGCAAGCTCACAGGCAACAACTTCACAGGCAGCACCATTCCTGAGACGCCTCCAAAATCCCTCGACCCTGTTCCCCCTGCAGCACTCTCACGGGCAACAACTTCACAGGCAGCACCATTCCCAGCACCATCACCGCCCTTACAAACCTCGTTGAGCTGTAAGCCTTCACGTTGAACCAGCACTTCACCTCACCGTGTCTCACCGCACCTCACCTCACCGCACCTCACCTCACCGCACCTCACCTCGCCTCACCTCACCGCACCTCACCGCACGTCGCCTCATTCGAATCATTTTTCTATCGTCATCTTGCCTGTTCTCCATCCACTTGAACAAAAAGTAAGGAGCTCGGGCTTCATGGAATTCAAATTCCATCTCCAACCACTTCCCAGCCATGCCCATCCTCTTCCCCCAACCATGCACCCCCCCCCCCCCCCCTTGCATGCCGATTCTCCCCCCCCACCATGCACATTGCCCCCCCCTTTTAATGCTGAGTCTGCCCACCCTCTGCCCATCCTATGCCCACCCTCTGCCCATCCTCTGCCCATCCTCTGCCCACCCTCTGCCCATCCTCTGCCCATCCTCTGCCCACCCTCTGCCCATCCTCTGCCCATCCTCTGCCCATCCTCTGCCCATCCTCTGCCCATCCTCTGCCCATCCTCTGCCCATCCTCTGCCCCTACCTTTCTTGCCCCAGGAGCCTCCACTACACAGGTGTGGGCTGCTCATTTCCATCCGGCCTTGCCTCAATTCCATCCGGCCTTGGCCCAAATCCTGACCTTCAGACCCTAAGGATGATGCTGCGTGCTACCTTCCCCATTCTCACCCCCTGCCTTCCCCACCTCCCTACCCTGCCTTACCCCACCAGGAGCCTCGACTACACAGGTGTGGGTGGCTCCATTCCATCCGGCCTCGGCTTGCTAACTGATCTTCAGACCCTGTGAGTGCTGCTGCCTGCTGTGCGTGCTGCTGCCTGCTGTGCGTGCTGCTGCCTGCTGTGAGTGCTGCTGCCTGCTGTGAGTGCTTCTGCCTGCTGTGAGTGCTGCTGCCTGCTGTGAGTGCTTCTGCCTGCTGTGAGTGCTGCTGCCTGCTGTGCGTGCTGCTGCCTGCTGTGAGTGCTGCTGCCTGCTGTGAGTGCTGCTGCCTGCTGTGAGTGCTGCTGCCTGCTGTGAGTGCTTCTGCCTGCTGTGAGTGCTGCTGCCTGCTGTGAGTGCTGCTGCCTGCTGTGAGTGCTGCCCATACTTCAATTTTCCTGCCATACCTCTCCGCTTCTATTGCCCTCATGTCCTCACCTCACCACACATCATTGCCTTACATGTCCTCACCACTGAACACACTCCTGAATTTCAAGTGCAAGTATACTTCTTGCCCACACACACACAGTGAGTGCAAGTATACTTCTTGCCCACACACACACAGTGAGTGCAAGTATACTTTCTCTGCCCACCCACACAGAAGGCTTTTGAGTCGACTCAAAATTCACCACTGAACACACTCCTGAATCTCAAGTGCAAGTTTCCTTCTCTGCCCACCCACACAGGAGGCTAGCGGGCAACAAGCTGACTAGCACGCTTCCAGGCACTCTGAGCGCACCGTATCTCCTCACTCCACCGCACATCACCGCCTTTCATGCCCTCATCTCCTCTCGGGACATAATGTTCACTTCTGAACTCGCCCCCACCCACACAGGAGGCTCGATGGCAACAAGCTGACTGGCACGCTTCCAGCCACTCTGGGCGCACCACAGCTCTTCACCCTGTAAGATGACGAGTGAGACAACAGACATTTAGGCCAGTTTTAAGTCACTTTTTCAGGTGACTTGTGTGGCGCCTCAAAGCATCCACTCTGGGCGCACCACAGCTCTTCACCCTGTGAGATGATGAGTCACAGCAGCTCACACCTTGTATATGAACGTAAGATGACGTAGCAGAGAACAGAAGAGCAACTGAAGAGGAAATGGCAGTAGATTGTCGCTATTGCAGACTAGGGCATCAATACGAACGTCTGCAATGCGATGGCGCTGCTTCCACGCTGTGTGCCATGGCACTGCTTGGCATCTGTGTAAGATATCAACGGATTATGGAGCGACTGTGTGGTGCTGCTGCCTGTTTTCTTCCTCGCTTCGTCTCACCTTCCTCACTTCATCCCCCTATCGCTTTCCATCCCGCTATCGCTTTCCATCCCCCTATCGCCTTCCATACCCCTATCGCTTTCCATCCCGCTATCGCTTTCCATCCCCCTATCGCCTTCCATACCCCTATCGCTTTCCATCGCACACCAGTTTTCTCCTACTGTTCCTCACCGCCCTGCCCCCCTCACCACGCTGCCCCCCTCACCGCCCTCCCCCCCTCACAGCCCTCCCCCCCACACCGCCCTCCCCCCCTCACCTCCCTGCCCCCCTCACTGCCCTGCCCTACTCACCGCCCTGCCCCTCTCACTGCCCTGCCCTACTCACCGCCCTGCCCCTCTCACTGCCCTGCCCTACTCACCGCCCTGCCCCTCTCACTGCCCTGCCCTACTCACTGCCCTGCCCCACTCACCGCCCTCCCTCCCTCACCGCCCTCCGCCCCTCACCGCCCTCCTCCTCCCACCACCCCTTCCCTGCAGCAACTACGACTCTACTGTGGCCTGCCCTGCCAGCAACACCTCGTGTGTGGTGGAGCAGAGAGACGGCAGCGAGTTCTGCACCGCCTGTGCTGCCTTCTGCAACTCCTGCATCCCTCCTGCCCCTGGTGGGTACAATCTGTTGCATCCCTCCTGCCTGGTGGGTACAATCTGTTGCTTCCCTCCTGCCTGGTGGGTACAATCTGTTGCTTCCCTCCTGCCTGGTGGGTACAATCTGTTGCTTCCCTCCTGCATGGTGGGTACAATCTGTTGCTTCCCTCCTGCCTGGTGGGTACAATCTGTTGCTTCCCTCCTGCCTGGTGGGTACAATCTGTTGCTTCCCTCCAGCCTGGTGGTTACAATCTGTTGCTCCCCTCCTGCCTGGTGGGTACAATCTGTTGCTTCCCTCCTGCCTGGTGGGTACAATCTGTTGCTTCCCTCCTGCCTGGTGGTTACAATCTGTTGCTCCCCTCCTGCCTGGTGGGTACAATCTGTTGCTTCCCTCCTGCCTGGTGGGTACAATCTGTTGCTTCCCTCCTGCCTGGTGGGTACAATCTGTTGCTTCCCTCCTGCCTGGTGGGTACAATCTGTTGCTTCCCTCCTGCCTGGTGGGTACAATCTGTTGCTTCCCTCCTGCCTGGTGGGTACAATCTGTTGCTTCCCTCCTGCCTGGTGGTTACAATCTGTTGCTCCCCTCCTGCCTGGTGGGTACAATCTGTTGCTTCCCTCCTGCCTGGTGGGTACAATCTGTTGCTTCCCTCCTGCCTGGTGGGTACAATCTGTTGCTTCCCTCCTGCCTGGTGGGTACAATCTGTTGCTTCCCTCCTGCCTGGTGGGTACAATCTGTTGCTTCCCTCCTGCCTGGTGGGTACAATCTGTTGCTTCCCTCCTGCCTGGTGGGTACAATCTGTTGCTTCCCTCCTGCCTGGTGGGTACAATCTGTTGCTTCCCTCCTGCCTGGTGGGTACAATCTGTTGCTTCCCTCCTGCCTGGTGGGTACAATCTGTTGCTTCCCTCCTGCCTGGTGGGTAACACTGGTTGCCAGGGCCGAACCTGTTGCATCCCTTGTGGCAAGACCTGAATTTGATTCCCTTCTGCTTGTAATCCATACTCCAAGTCTGCGCAAAACATACTTTTTGCTTCTGATACTCTTGTTTTGTGTGCAGCCCCAGCGTCCGATGCCCCACCATCCATTGCCCAACCATCCGAGGCACTCCCATCCGAGGCAACCCCATCCCAAGCATCCCCATCCGAGCCTCCGATCGCTCCTCCCATCCCTGCATCACCCTCCGAGTCTTCCCCTTCCCCTCCTCCTCCCCCCCCTCCTCCTGTTGAGCCTCCTCCAACCAACCCTGACGGCAGCACCACCACCACCACCATCACCAACACCAACACCAACAACAACAATGCCAACGCCAGCGCCAATGCTTCCTCCTCCAGCTCGGGGCTGTCCACAGGAGCCATCGTGGGCATCGTGGTGGGCGTGCTGCTGCTGGTCGTTGGCGTCGTTGCTGCTGTCTTCATCATCATTCAGTGTGGCAACAGGTCCAAAGGTAAGCCCCTGAAAGGCACCTGCGTGAGCAGATGCTTTTCCTCTCCGTGTTCGGGATGTCTCAGGACTTGCCGTTGTCTTCATCATCCTGCATGAGCAGGTGCTTCTCCTCTCCGTTTGTGAGACGTCTCTCACTTGTCGGGACCTTTATCGTCATTCAGTGTGGCAACTTGTGCAGAGTGGGCACGAGAGTCTATGAATGCAAAGCAATGCTTCTTCTCTTCGCGCTGTGTAGTTTCTGCTGCTTGCACTCATCGATGGAGGGTCTGGATCCTGAAATTCCCCTCCGTTAATCCTCTCCGTTATCCCCCCTTGCATTCCTTCACACCTCCCTTGTCCTTGTACCCTCGTGTGTGCTTCCCTCTCTGCAGAGGTGGAGGTGGAATATACGACTCAAGCTGCAGCAGCATACGCAGGGGATAACCAGTACAAGCCGCCTCAGGGTGCTTATGCTGGTTACCAGCCTGGTGCTGCCGGCCAGGTGTAGTCCGATACATGGTACACTTGCAAACTCAGGTTCAGCTCTCTCAAACAACTGCTTTCTCTCGCATCCAAGGGCCTATCGCCGTATATGGAGAATTAATTACGCCCTTCTCTATTTCGAGAGTGTGGAGCAGGGTACTGATGTGTGGTTCAGCAAAGTATATGGTAATTTACTGAAGGGACTGGGAAATTGTATTTTACAGGTTGTTTATATGAGATTGTAGTAATGGGTTCGAACAGTAGAAAGATGGCATATTGTGATCTTTGTATTGGCCTGGACATTCCAAACTGGGTTACACACATCACACACCTGTGCTTTCTGGACCAAAAAGTGTTGTTTTGCTTTCGAACAAAGTGTTCACTTGAATATGGTGTAAGAAGATACCTGCTTGGTTTTACTGGACGTGTTATACCAAACAAAAAAATATTGCACTATGAACAAGTTCTTTCCATATAGGTTTGCGCAGGAAGCGGCGCATGGAACAAACTTCTCGATATACCCCCCTCCCGACAAGCCCCCCACCTGATAGAACAGAATGTATCCACTCACGGTTAAGGCTGTAATGATTATTGTTTAGTACGATTCTGCACAGTTCAGAACGTTTTAGTTAGGCTGTAGAACGGTTCAACGAGGTTCAGCAAGTAATCAATTTGGACCACGGGCTTCTAACAAGTGTTGCACTCCTTTCCCTAGCAGCGTGATATGCGGGCTTCACCGAATTGAACCCTTCGAAATTTCTCAATGATGCGCTGCATGTCAAATCAGCTAAGAGGAAGGCTTAAGTTTAGAGGAGTGGAGTTGAAATGAAAAAGAGGGGTTTGGATTATAAAGCAGGAGAAGAAATACAAGCAAGAGAAGGGTAGGCAAGGTGCACCACCAACAAGAGTAACAATTGCTACACAATTCTATGTTGTAGGCAGCTATATGAAGTTATATAAGTATATATTTGACACTGCAGCCCGCCAGAGTAACATGCGGCTAAATGAGAAGGAAGACATATTGGTCAGAGAACAATGAGCAACGAAGTTGCCTTTGCCTACGTCACATTGAATACAAGGCCATCAGCAGGACTGCATTCTCTGTCGTGCTCCTGCACTGTCTCTCCAACCCCCCACATCCCTCTCCCCTTGCACCACGACCACTCTCCAAACTTCCTCCTTTGTCTTCCACATTGCAGGCGTACCCGTTATCGACCCCATCCTTCCAGCTACTACCGCAGCACTGGCGCCCTCCTGGACGAGTTGCCCTGCACATGCCATGCAGAAGCAACAAGCGGCAACTGGAACTGCACCCTTCAAGAAAGGCTCACGCTCACTTCCGCGTTCCAGCCCGTCGGGACCATCAAGTCGTTCGTCAATGGTAGGTTGTTCACGAAACCTTCAAGCGGTATGTAAAAGTTACAATTGATGACATTGTGCTAAAGGGGTGGATCTCAGCAAGTGTGACAACCTTTTGAAAGCGTGGCGTTTTTTTGCATCCTCGTTGCTGGTGTTTGGGTCTGGCTGACATGAACCACCAAGGACAGACTCGTTAGTTTGAAGCTGCTTCTCACATGGAAACTTCACGGTGCTTACTTGGTATGTAGCTGAGAATGATTAGTGATGCTCACCCAAGCAAGCAACCCTCTCTTGTCCAAGGGATGGTCTTACCGTAGTTTTTGTGGAGCTGAGAAATACCCCTTAGTTTCTGATTATTTCCACAACAATTTTTCGAATTCGGTACTCAAGGTCTTGGGAAGAGGCCCACCATCATACCCCCTGTATGCTGTTGTTGTTGTTGTTGTTGTTGTTGTTGTTGTTGTTGTTGTTGTTGTTGTTGTTGTTGTTGTTGTTGTTGTTGTTGTTGTTGTTGTTGTTGTTGTTGTTGTTGTTGTTGTTGTTGTTGTTGTTGTTGTTGTTGTAATATATATAGGCTATATATAGGCACGAAACAATGCAAAGTAACAAGGTGTTACGAGAAGGTTCCTAGGTTCACGAAGCATCGGGAATAGGACCTTCCCGGATTCGGTAGAATCAATTCGACAGAATCACGCGCACGAAAAGTCACGCGAGAATAACCGAAATGAATCAGAATTCGGTGCACGCAACCCAATTCGGTGCAATAGTTATAGAAAAGCAACGAATCTGTTGTGGTCAAGGGGTGCTCGGGATTACGGTTGAAAAACCGTTTCCCTCGTTGACTCGATGAACAAGTAATTTCGCCAGAAAGGTCGCGCGCATAATGTGACAATTCCGATACAGGGAAAAAACGGTGAAAATCGTTTTGCAACAATAAGGCTTCGTGAAAACGGCAATTCCACACGAGCGTTCATCAATCGACATGCGAATTCATGAGTATTCGTATGCGAAGTCAGTAGGGGCATTTGACAGATATGAAGTTTGAAGAAAGTTACTTTACAGAGGCGAACCAAGCCAAATTCCGCAGCAGATCGACAACTGTTTTCCTTTGCACATCTGGCGAAGTCCTGAACTCCAGTTAAATAACTGTTCGGTGTTTTCCTTATGTGTGCTTAGGACTTCATATAAATGTGTGCTTGTATTTTCTTGGGAGATAACAATGCATTCTCACTTTCACTTTTGGATTTTTATTACTACGTATTGACGAGAGTAGAAACGATACACAGTGGTGTCGAAACGCTGCTCGACCAGTCTTCTGTCGCACTACGAGCTAAGCCGAGCTTACCTTACTTCCTCGTGCTTTTGAGCCCTTGGCTGGGAGGTGACCATGTCACACACGGAGGGTCTCAAGAGGAGTAGGTAGTGCAAGGTTTGACTTAGTGGTTTCAAGTTTTAACGCTTCTGCATAGCAATTAGCATGCATACATCCGTCAGTCGAAACTGATTCTGGGGAAGGGAATAGCACAGGCAGAGGCACTGCTACCCTCCCGCCTCCTTCTACAGTGGCTTGTAACAGGACCTCGGATCTTCCCATAATGCTCTGAAATCCGGGCTCCAGCTCAGCTTCTCTCCATCACTGTAGATCCTCCTCATCACCCTCACCTCGTCTCTCTCCATGTGTCCCCAAGTGTCCATTTTTGTCCGTTCCCCTGCCTTCCTTTGCATGTGCCCCTTTCCACTGTAAATCTTGACATGTTTCGTGAAATCTGTACCGATCAGCCTCGCCACTCGTTTGGTTTGGAAACCCCCCTTCCGGAAAATTTCTCCGCACCTCTCCAGCCAGATTCGATGAAATGTGATTGCCACCAGCGTGATTTGAAGAAAACCTGACTTTGTGCTCACCTCCCGGAACAGTAGATCATGTTGGTGCAACCCTACGGTTTGCACTCGGCTTGTTGTCCGTGTGCGTGAATGTGTGTGTGTATGGAATGGTATGAGGGCATGGGATAATGTATATTTCATGCTTATAATTGTGTGTGAATGTTGAGTCATGATGTCGAGTGTGTGTGTCGAGTCAATAGCGAGTTATCGCTAGACGCGTGTTACGCGGTCGTTTGTGTCTCGCGCGCGGTTTCTATTTTGTCGTGCGCGGTTTCTATTTTGTCCTGTGTCGAACGTTCGGCGTGTCGCAGGTGTGTGCAGTAGACCCATCAAGAACTCAAGGATGAGTTTGTGATGAAGAGCCCGAGCCTTGGTGTCAAGCCTCAAGTGATTTCGAAGCTCGCCAAAAGGGTACACCTCAAGATATTGAAGATAGTTACATTACTTTGTGTAGTGTAACATTTCACTTGGTGTAGGCCCTAGTGAAGGGTAGTTTCGAGACCCTTCGTGGTTGGGGACAGTGTGGCACTGTTCCACATCACTGTACCTCGGCTCTTGGGGTTTGTAGGAGCTGGGAGTCATTCCCAACTCGTAACTCTTCCTATCTTGTGTTCTAAGACTATAGTGGCTGCCATAGTACCGTTCGTTCAAACCGACGCTGTGTCGTCAATTCTTTATCAAATCGTGCAATCTAAATTTCTAATTGTAGACGACGTGAAGACGCTCCAGATCCAATTTGAATCAGGTCATTTGCAGCTGTGAGCAGAACGCTATCAACGTTTGAAGCCGCTGTGCAGAAATCCGTCTGTGCTCTCTATCTTTCGTTTTAGGCACATTCAAGCCTATTGCGACTATAACAAGTGGTATCAGAGCCCCTTGGAGCAGTTTCGACAATGTCTGGACCTGAGGAAAGGGGTGGCAGAGGTGCTGGTGGCAGTGGAGAAGCTCAAGCTCAAGGCCAACCCCGTGATTCAGCCATGGCGCCCATGCAACCAAGTCTTGGCCCACCTAGGGATGAGCCTAGGGTGTTTGGGCTTGACAAGTTCAACGGTGACAACTTTGCTGAATGGTGCTTCAAGATGGAGAACATCTTTGACCACTATGACCTGCTGGAGGTGATGGAAGGAACGGAGAAGCGCCCCGAGAACGACCCGGAGAAGAGCCCGTGGGTGCGGAAGAGCGCACAAGGCTATCTCTTACTTGGGCAAGCGTTGGGGAGCAGTCAGATCCGTCACATCAAGCCATTCCAGCGTGAACCAGAGAAAGGACCAAAGGCATGGGCTGCTCTCAAGGGTGTACATGCTCCTGCAACAGCGGCAGTAGCGGTGGTGTTGGAACGGCAAATGGCGGCACTACGAATTGAAGAAGACGAAGCGGTTGAAGAAGGGGTGCAGAAATTCTTCGACTTGTTGACGCGGCTTGAGGGAGCTGATTTGAACTACAGTGAGCTCCAAAAGAAGACCAAGTTGCTGGCCTTACTCCCAGAGTCATGGTCCTCGCTCATCATCAACCTTAATCGCGACTTGCCCCGCCTCTCGCTTGAAGACGTGAAGCGAGCTATCCTTCAAGAGGATTTCCGCCGCCGTGAGTTGGCGAGTGCGGATGGCGCTGGGGCAGCGAGCATCGGCCGTGGATATGGTCGAGGAAGAGGCAGAGGACGAGGGGGAGGAAGTTTTGGTGGCAGCAACTTCGGCGGAGGCCGCAGGAGTGGCGGTTACGGCAGCGACGACAAGAGCTACGGACGCGGTCGCGGCCGATTCGACGGCGAGTGTCACTATTGCCACA